GATGAAAATGTTCTGAAATTAGTATTGATAATTGCACAATTCTGAATATACTAAAAACCGTGGAATTACGTATTAAGTAATTTAAAAGGGTGAATTTTATGGTGTGTGAATTCGTCCCAAAAATGCTGTTACAAAAACAAAACAAATGCAAAAATCTATTTCTCTGTTTTGCTATTCCCTTCCTTTTCTTGGAAGGATTGAGAATATCTTTCAGGGCTGCATAAAACATGACCAGATTTAGCCACTGAAGTTGGGCCAGAAAAAAAGAAAAAAGAAGGGCGGGGCGTAGTCATGCCCCCGCACATCCTGGGCCTCTCTCTGTCCCTGCTGTTCAGACACAGCTCTCGGCCTGGCCCGCTGCCATCTCGTGGTTCCCAGCAGGGTACTCTGTGGCCCCTCCGCACCCTGGGTGGGGCCCCAGGGGCCACCTCCTGCAGGTCCAGTGTGGATGCATCACTGTCACCTCTGGGGCGAAGCAAGGAGGCAAGGGTTTGTGTGATGATCAAATGGCTGCGCGTCTCACGCACCCGGGACAGGCATATTGGCATGAGGTAAGCGCTAGTGATGTCTTCTGAGTGAGATATGCCTCTTGAGCCTCAGTTTTCTCATCTGTAAGTGGGACAGTAAGAGCAGGGCCAGCCTGCTCTGATCTTCCTGGCCTTCCCATTCCCGGTTCAGTTCACTGGCCACTCACACCCTCTTCTCTCTAAAGCATCACGTTAGGGGACTTTTTGTTGTTCACTTTTAGTAACTGGGATTTTTATTAAATATCATTAATTTCTTCAGAAACAAATTCAGAAATTATCTTTTTAAATAAGGGGAGTTATGGCAAAACTAGCCCTGGAACCAACCACCCACAGCAGTGGTGCCCAACCTTTTTGGCACCAGGGATGGATTTCATGGAAGACAGTTTTTCCATGGATGGGGGGGAGGGGCAGTGGAGCTCTGCGGTCTGAACCCTAACAGGCTGTGGACCGATAGCAGACTGGGGCCCAGGGGTTGGGGACTGGATCGCTGTCCCCTTTTCTGTGGGGACAAATACACTGTCACCATTCTTTTTTTCTTTTTTTTTTTAGACAGAGTCTCACTGTGTTGCCCGGGCTAGAGTGCTGTGGTGTCAGCCTAGCTCACAGCAACCTCAAACTCCTGGGCTCAAGCAATCCTTCTGCCTCAGCCTCCTGAGTAGCTGGGACTACAGGCATGCGCCACCATGCCCGGCTAATTTTTTCTATATATTTTTAGTTGTCCGATTAATTTGTTTCTATTTTTAGTAGAGACAGGGTCTCGCTCTTGCTCAGGCTGGTTTCGAACTCCTGAGCTCAAACAATCCGCCCGCCTCGGCCTCCCAGAGAGCTAGGATTACAGGCAAGAGCCGTTGCACCCGGCCTACCTTCACCATTCTAAACCTTACTTGGACATCATCTTCAAAGTAAACTCTGAAGCCTCACTTGCCCATCTCTGGCCCTTCCTGGACCCATCCGCACCCCAAACAAAGCTAACCCCCATGTTGCTCTATCTGTGTACCTTGACATAGGTGTCTCTGTTATTACGTGAATTCATGCACTCCTTCATTCATTCATTCGACAGACTTTCAGGGAATACCTGCTATGAGGAAACCGAGGTTCTGAATGATTAGGTGACTCAGTGCATGAATCGGGTTGAGAACCCAGGCTGTCTTATGCCAGCGCTC